AACATAAACAAAAACAGGCAGGGACTGTCAGGATGGATTGAAGAAAACCTAAACAAGGTTCAATTATATGTTGTCTATAGGGAACAGACTTTAGATTCAAAGATACCAATAGGCTGAAGTAAAAGGAAGAAAACAAGATACAGTGTATAAACCATAATCATAAGAGAGTTAGAGAGTCTATATATAAGTCAAAATAGACTGTAAAAAAAAAATGTTTCTAAAAATGAAGAGGGATATTTTATAGTGACAAAATGGTCAATCCATTTTTACCGTAATAAAACTTAACAATTATAAACAAATATGCACCTAACAACAGAACTCCAAAATATGTAAAGCAAAACCTGAAGAATAAAAGAGAGAAATAGAAAATTCAACAATAATAGTTGGAGACCTCAATAACCAACTTTCAGTAATGGATAGAAAACTATGCAAAACATCAACAAGGAAACAGAACACTCAGGCAACATAAATCAGTGACACAGAAGAGACATCTATGGAACTTTCCACCTAACTGAATAGAATACAAATTCTTCCCAAGTATACATGGAACATTCTCCAGGATAGGCCATATCTTAGGCCATTAAAAAGAAATCATCCAAAATTTGAAAGAACTGAAATCATATAAACTGCTTTCTCTGACCACAATATTATGAAATTAGTAAAATCATTGAAATTTATGAAATTCAGTGGGGCGTGGTGGCGCACACCTATAATCCCAGCACTTTGGGAGACCAAGGTGAGAGGACTTCCTGAGCCCATGGGTTCGAGAGCAGCCTGGGAAACTTGGCGAGACCTCATCTTTACAATAAATCAAAAAATTAGCTGGGCTTGGTAGCGCGAGTCTGTAGTTCCAGCTACTTGGAAGGCTGAGGCGGAAGCATGGCCTGAGCACAGCAGGTTGAGGCTGCAGTGGCCGGGAGCGGCCAACTCAAAAAAAACGAGAAAGAAATTTATGAAATTCACAAATATGTGAGGATTAAACAATTCACTACTAAGTGATCAATGGGTATGGTGGCTCACGCCTATAATCCAAGCACTTTGGGAGGCCAAGGTAAGAGGATTGTCTGAGCCCACAGGTTCAAGAACAGCCCGGCAGCTTGGCAAGACCTCATCTCTACAATAAATAAAAAAATTAGCTGGGCGTGGTGGTGCGCACCTGTAGTTCTAGCTACTTGGAAGACTGAGGCAGAAGGATTGTCTGAGCCCAGCAGGTTAAGGTTGTGGTGGCCATAAGCTTGCCACTGCACTCCAACCTGGGTAACACAGTGAGACTCTGACTAAAAAAAAAAAAAAAAAAAAGAGCTCAATAAATGGTTCATATTTATAGATCAGAAAAATTAATAGATGACAGTACTCTCAAGTTTATCTACACAGTCAATGCAATTTCTATCAAAATTCCAGCTGAATTTTTTTTTTTTTTTTTTGAGTCGGAGTCTCACTCTGTCACCCAGGCTGGAGCGCAGTAGCATGCTTCTAGTCACTGCAGCCTCAACCTCCTCGGCTCAGGCGATCCTTCTGCTTCAGCCTTTCAAGTAACTGGAACTACAGGCATGGACCACTATGCCCGGCTAATTTTTTTAATTTATTGTAGAGATGAGGTCTTGCCAAGTTGCCCGGGCTGGTCTTGAACCCTTGGGCTCAGGCAATCCTCTCACCTCAGCCTCCCAAAGTGCTGGGATTAGAGGTGTGAGCCACCACCCCCACCCTCAGCTGAATTTTTTTACAGAAATTGACAAACTGATTCTAAAATTTATAGGAAATGCAAGGGACTCAACATAAAAAAAAATCCTGAAATATAAGAACAATGTTGGAGGATGCACACTTCCTGATTTCAAAACTTACTACAAAGCTACTAATCAAAACAGTGTGGTACTGTGATAAGGATAGACGTGTACGAGGGGGACCAAAAAAACCCTGGAATTATCTTTTGGAGTGCGGGTCCCATGTAGTACAGGCTTCCCCTGCTAGGTAAGTGTTCTAGGAACCCAATGGCATCAGTGCACTAGCTGGCCTTGTTGTGAGCAGTGGCGTTCAGCTTCAGTGAATTATTATTATTTTTTTTTTTTTTAGATTCTTTCAAGGCGTTTGCCCATTTCTTGATGGATGATGGGTGATTTACCACACTGAGTGTCCAGCAGTTTTTGACCCCAAATGGTGTGATCCCCATGCCCCACCCTCCCTATTCACCTGGTCTCATCCTGAGCAACCTTTTTTTTGTTTTTCTGGATGAAAAAAATCCTCAGAGGAAAACCTTTTGCTGATGTGGAAGAGGTGAAATTAAAAAATGGCAGATTAAAAGGCATCAAAATCGATGAGTTCAAAAACTGTTTTGAGCAGTAGAAAAAACATCTCAATAGGTATATTGCATCAAATGGAGAGACTTTGAAGGTGACTGAAGTTTAAATATGTAAGAATTAATACACAATTTTTATAAATAAATTCTGAGTTTTTTGGGGTTCCCCCTCATAAGTCAATAGGACATAATTGAGATTCCAGAAATAAACCCTTATATATACAGTCAATTGATTTTTTGCCAGGATGCCAAGACAATTCAGTGGGGGAAGAACAGTCTCTTCAACAAATGGTGCTGAGCCAACTGGATATTCACATACAAAAATGTTGTATTCCTACTTCATATAAAAATTAACTCAAAGCGAATCAAAAGGCTAAACGTAAGAGCTAAAACATAAAACTCATAGAAGAAAACATAGATAAACATCTTTATGACCTTGGATTAGGTGGTGGTTTCTTAGGTATAATACCTAAAGCACAGCAACAAAAGAAAGTAGATAAATTGGGCTGAGCTCTGTGGCTCATGCCTATCATCCCAGCTCTTTGGGAGGCCAAGGTGAGAGGATTGCCTGAGCCCACGGGTTCAAGACCAGCCTGGGCAACTTTGGGAGACCTCATCTCTACAATAAATTTTAAAATTAGCTGGGTGTGGTGGTGTTTGCCTGTAGTTCCAACTACTTGGAAGGCTGAGGCAGGAGGATCACCTGAGCCCAGCAGGTTGAAGCTGTGGTGGCTGGTAGTGTGCCACTGCACTCCAGCCTGTGCGACACAGTGAGACTCCAGCTAAAAAAAAGGTCTTTCAAAGTCAGAATACCTGAGAGAAAGTAATAAAAGGGGTTCTTGATTAACTGATAGATGGATTCATTTTTCTGTCAATGAATATTTATTGAATTCCTATTATGTACTAGGAGCTCATGTGATATCTGTAAATAACACAGAGAAGATGCCTGCAGCATTGACATTTTTTGTTTTTTTTTAAATATGTGGGGTACAATTCAGGGTTAGGTATACAAATGAGAGGATTGCCTGAGCCCAAGGGTTCGAGACCAGCCTGGGCAACTTGGCAAGACCTCGTCTCTACAATAAATCAAAAAAAATTAGCCGGGCTTGGTGGTGCATGCCTGTAGTTGCAGCTTATTTGGAAGACTGAGGCAGAAGGATCGCCTGAGCCCAGGAGGTTGAGGCTGCAGTGGCCATGAGTGTTCCACTGCACTCCAGCCTGGGTGACAGTGAGACTCTCACTTAAAAAAAATAAAAAGAACAGCTTTGCCATGCTGTCTAGGGACAAGGACACAAAGTGATACCAGGGGAAAGATGCATCTTTTGGCCTTATGAGTGTGTTATGACCATGGTTTTAGCTCTTGTTAGCATGAGGGTCAGTGAGTTTCCTTTCTGAGGCTCAGTTTGTAAAATGGGTATTAAAGGAAATAATTCAGTCTGTACTTGGACCTGATGTTTATATCCCCTGAGTGTCTTTAGCACAGACACAAGCAATAGGAGAACAACCAGCCCTGTGACTTAGCGAGAGCCCAGGTTTTCTTTTTCTTTTTTTTTTTTTTTT